GAATATTATCATAGCTGGAATCCATTCTTTTAAAATACTACAGTTAACACTTGGTTAAGAAAAATCGACAGTCATCTTCCAATTAAATCAACAAACGAGTCTCTTTATCAGTTACTTTCATGCAAATTGAAGTCTCCCTAACGATATTTGCATATGAAATTCCTCGTAAATTAGCTGTTTTTTGTATCAGCAACGCTTATGTAAGATTTACTGATAGTCTTTACAACTCAGGTTAGCTGGTATCCAAAAAACTTTACCTTTGACGACTTTACAATATCTTCTATCCACGAAAATGCATTCATCTCTTCCGCAGAGAATGGCTTTATAGACTTGTGCACAAACGAATGGGTACCTGTTCCATAAGCAGGTCTTCATTGAAGGCCTGGATCCCCATTTGCACTCTTGGAATCTGTCATCATGACAAGTTGGCCTGTTCTCATAAAATCCGTATATTCAGAGAATGAGAGTTGAGTCCACAATTTTAAAGGTTTAGTTAGTGTGTGTTTCCCTGAATGGGATGAATCCACCCTCTATCACATCCTAAAAGGAAAGATGACCTGGTTCTGGTTTATATGGTTTACCCTTTACGACTATGCTTTCCAGCTTGGAATGCTCAATTGCCTGAGCGCAGTGTTTGCGAACACGTTGATAGATGGATTGAAGGAGAGGCCAGAAGAGAGAGAGCGTAAGGGAGTACATGACTATGTACCAAATGATCGACATTTATCAACCGTCATCTTGGTCTCCCCATCGTGTAGGTTCAGCCTGTTGTTGTAACGGTTGTAAGCTCAACCGTCATGTGGTGTTTGGTTGCACTGTCATCTATCGCATGTCCACAAAAGGCCTAGTCTATGCTTCTAACATTGCCATTCTGTTCTGCTATCGTAGAATCTAGGACAAGTGCAATAGCCCAAAAGACAAGGACACACAGAATCCACCGGAAGTAGACATGTACCCTGCCGGTTGGGACTATTTCTTCACGATGTTTCCGCCGCCCTTATCTTACTCGTATGCAATCCGTTCGTCCGTCCGTCCGTCCGTCTAGTCACTGATTCTCTGTCGGAAAACGACCACATCGTCTGTATGCTCGTGTGTGGGCATGTGGTGCGATGCCGGTATTCTTCTGTCGTCCAGCCCAGCTTCCGGTTGGTGTGTCCCGGGCCGGCGAGAGTTGTGCAAGTGCGCCCAAAGTGGTAGTGTTTTTGGGAAACCCAAATGTTCCAGGCCGGTAGAAGATAAAGAGGTGGGTTGGACGACCGAGGCTCTAGCTCATTAATTAATGATAGCCCGAGAGTGAAACAGACGGTGTGGAGGGTCTCGGTCGAGCCGAGTGTATGCAGAAAAAGAGGTAACCTTTGAACGAGTACACCTTTAGCCGCATTTACCCTCACTCCCCACTTCCATGCAAGAATATCAATATAATCTAGACGAATGGCCAAGTGTTGGATACAACTGAGGCTAAGATGAGTTGTGATGAGGCGAAAGCCTCGGCCAGGGAGAGCTGGGAGCCTGGCCAGCCTAACAGGGCGGCCGGCAGAACGGGCCGGAGAGTCAAATTGGGCTAAAA